TTTTTTTTTTTTTAATTTCTTGATCCTTTACTCTTTTACATGTGTCCTATTTCATTTATATATTTTACAATATTGCCCTATAAATTCATGGATTTATTTGAAGAGTTTCAACTCTCTGCTTGATTTCAGAAGCCAGACTCTAAAGAGGCAGATAACCTATAGGATGAAATAGCAAAGCTACAAACAAAACAATTGCATGTCCTTTTTTAAGAACTTGAACTACTAGGTCCTTCAATGCAGATGTATTGATCATTTTATCTTTCTTTATCATTTTCTATGTGTGTATACATGTTTATTAGCATTTTCTTAATTCAAAGACGTGCGATCTTGGATTTTGAAGATTTTGGGTTTCTATGGAATTGAATAATTTTATTTATAGACCACATATTTAAAAACTTAATTAACTCTCTGCAGAGCCCTTCTTATTCCTTTTTTTTTTTTTGGTCGTCCTAGAACCCTTCTTATTTCCTCTTATCTTTCTCACTATGAATATCTTAACATTGACAGAAATAAATGAGAGAAGATATATTGATATTCTCTCTTAGCTTACTTAAATCATCATGAGTAAGTTGTTTTATTTTAGGGTTTGTGTAACATGTACTCTTAAAATACAAGTTAAAAATACAATAAATATATCTTTTTATAATTAATTCATATTAAAAATTATAAAAATTAATTTATATTTTAACATCATTGACACGTAAATAATTTTAATTAGTTAATTGATTAAATTAAAGTCAATATATACTTTAAATGAAAATTAATTATGAAAAAATATATTTATTATATCTTTTTTTATGTCTTTAGAGTATAAGATAAAAAATTCCTATATTTTATCTTGCATCATTCTTCCTTTTAGTTCTAATTAATTAGTAGAACTCCCATTGTCTTTTTCGGTATCTACACAAACATGATAATCATTCTTTCTCACTTTGGTACCATCAATTTTGCTCACTATAAAGTTAATATTGCTATATCTTATAAATTTTTAATGTTATAATAAGGGTGATGATAGGTTTGCCCAAAATTATCCACACACTCTGTTACATCTTTCGATTTCTGTTATTTTTCGTTAATTACACTTAACTCCATTACCATCCTCTTCATCCATTATCTTCTTCTCCTGTCTTGATACCTATTTCCAGTGATGCAATCCTTTGGCTAAAATCTCTCCATAATCAATTCAAAAGTGGTGAATCACTACAATAAGGTTTGTTCCTTTGGCTAAAATTGCATTTTTTTTCCTGAACTTCTATCACCTAAAACTTTAATATGAAGTTTTTATTTTGTCTCCATTTTTTGACAATGAATTAAAAGCAAAATACTGGGTAGCTGTGGGATTTGGTCTAGGTTCTAGAAGAGAACCCAAGTCTGGGTTCTCCAAGAGAACCTGGGAGAAAAAAAAAAGAAAAAAGAAAAAAGGAAGAAGGTGGGAACCTGGTAAAGGGCTGACAATTGTATTGCAGATGATTAGGATAAGAATGGAGGTGAAGATGATTAGGATAAGGATGAAGGTGAGGAGGAAGATGAATCTAGTGAGGACGGAAAGTGTTGGGTGAGTCGAGAGACCGTCAGTGTATATAACAAAAACTGTTAAAGTGTGTAACAGTAGTATGTAATGGATGGTGTGCATGAATCAGCGTCTTTATAATAATGGCTTACACATGTGCATGTGATGACTAGGTTTAGTGTGATCTTTTAAGTCTTTAGAATCAATCCTGATATCAAGATATGCAAAGAGTCATATAAAGTATATGCATTGAAACCAATTTCAATTAACTAACTGCATTAGAACTTTTTTCTCTTTTAAGCGAGTTGTGATCTTACTTTTATTTCTTACATAACGAATAAACTTAAGATTTTTGTAACTTATGCCTTAAGAACACAAGTTAAAATTACTTTTTATTATAAATTTGTGTAGAAAAATATAAAGATTAACATTAATTTTAGTACTATAGCCACATGGATGAATTTAATTGAATAGTTGATATATTGAAGATTAATTTTTATTTTTTTCATGCAAATATATTGCAAAAAAAATTATTTATTTCATTCTTACTATACAAGTTAAAAAAAAAACCCTTACACCTAAACTATATTATTCATTTTTTTATTAATAATTTGTTGATCCAAGTGAAAAAAATCAAATTCATCTTAAATAAGATTTTAAGTTTAAATCTTGTAAATGAAAAAATAAATATTGAGAAAACTTTTCCCTTATAATTAAGGTTTGACGTGACTCGACTTCAAATTAATTGAGATATAATGTAACTTTTGGATACTAGGAGTTAGTAAAAAAAATTATTCATTTTCATTTATTATTGTTCCTTGAGAACAACTGTTATACTTTTATATATGATCGTTTCATTAATTTAATTAAAATTACTTTAATGAAATAACTTTAGTTCAATAAACAAAACATGAAGGCCGGTCATTGACCGGGTTAGTGGAACTGTATGAATAACAAGGTCTTTTGATGCACTGTTAAAATTATTGGATTGAAGTTGAACAAGAAAACTAAATCTTGTTTCCGCAATATTCATAAGAGTACTTATTCAGAAGGGCTCTTTTTCTTCTTGAATATTTTGCTGAAAAATTTGATCACCTTTTCTTTCGCCATCTTGATCATGGATTCGCTGGCTTCCTTCAATGCAACTTCTTTGGCTTTACCAAACCAATCTTTCTTTCCGCCTTTCTTGTTTCTGCCACCATCTTTCTGGTTCGTAGTATTGTCATCTTCCACCAACGCACCAACGCCTCCAGCACCCCATTGATCTGCCCAGTTCGGTGCCTCACTCCGCATGCTGCCTTGTATTTTCCTTTCTGTAAGAAACCACAACCATTAATAGTCAGTCTCAAATGCATTCAATCAACAGGTAATCATGCCAGATAATAATATGATGCATGCGAACTCAAGAAAAAAGGAACATGCCCCTGGAATCCCTATGTTACAGAAACCGATTAAGATGGTAAGGAGAAAGAACCTTCGAACTTGGGAGATTAAACCTGATGAAGCAGGAGAGATGGAAAGATGTGGTTTGCCTTCTAAACTTAATAAAGAACGGGTCAAAATTGGTTAACTTACCCAATTGTCTTTGATCCGATTTCAGCCGTTTACCCTGCAGGCTGATATATATAGACCAAATGAGTCAACAACGCAAGCTTCTCAGCCGATTTTACCCTTTTATTCGGTTTATATACCCCCTCTATCCCAAAATAAAAATGTTTTTTTTTTTTAATTTATAATTTGTGTTAAAATAATACAACCTTCATTCTAGAATAATGAATATATTTTGATTTTATCTTTATAATATATTTGAGTTAAGAGGATTAGAGAAAATGAGAGTTTTTTAATCTATCAAATTATCATAATTTTAAATATTACAATCTATTTAATTAAAATATTTTTCCCTGTCCTCCCCTCAAACCAAACATAATGTTAGATTAAAGATTTAGAAATAATTTTTATTTTTACATATTTTAACTTTTAGCAGAAAAAAACAAGAAATAAACTTTTTTAATAATTGGATGAATAATTAAAATTAAAGAATAATGATAAGCTTAGGAAAAAATATTAATTTCCTTTTAAAATATGAAAATAGCACTATTATTCTAAAAAAAATTTAAATGAAAAAGTGTATATTATTCTGGAATAGAGGGAGCAATTAGGGATTGTATAAATTATAATAATTATAAGAGTTTGTCTAATTTATACCTTAAGGGCATATATTAAAAATGTATTAATATTTTTTTTTGTTATAAATTTATATTAAAAAAATAAAAATTAACTTTTAATTTATCCATTGTCTAATTAAATTGACTCACTTCATACCAACACTTTTATATCTTTTATGTGCATTTATAATAAACAATACATTTAACTTATGCTTTAAAGGGAAATGTTAAAAAACCATAATTATAATAATATTATATATATAAAAAAAAAAAAAAAAAACCCCAACTGTTAATTACCAAACGCTGTTGGCAGAGGTTTCTAATTCCAGCCCATTTTTTCTACTGCCTATTGCAAAAGGCTATAAGCTACAGCAGCCATTGTGGAAAATTTGCAATGGTAATTTCAACCATTGCAGAAACCTCATTTAATGAGGTGAAGAAATATTGCACCGGGTAGTTGGGTTTTTACCCTATAAATACCCATGCAATGGCAAGGCAAAAAGCAAGCAAAAAGGAAGCAAAGAGTGCAGCAGCAAAGTGAGCAAATTGAGAGCTCCGGATGAAAAGAAAAAACGGGGAGGGGGATAGAGCTAGGCATTAAAAGCTTAGGTGTAAAGAGTGCTCCATAGAGAGAGTACATTGAGTATAAAATTGTGAGTTTATCAGGATTGTGATCATATTCTGGGGGCGTGGGAAACACCAAGAGAGAGAAAAATACTTGAGTGTATACTTTGTACAATTTTATCATATAATGGAATACTCTTCGGAGTTTGTCCCGTGGTTTTTTCCCTCAATAGTTTTTGGGGGTTTTTCCATGTAAAATTTGGTGTTATTTTGCTTGTTTATTTTCCCGCTTAAATGACTGGTTGAACCGCCCATTTTATTTATATTTCTTAAGTGGCAGGTTGAACCGCCTATTTTATTTTGCTTAGTTGATTAAGTCGCCTTTTTCACTAACCGTTAATATTGGTTGGCTAAGCCACCTATTTCACCGTTCTTTATTATTGTTCACGTGTTTTGACAACATGAATTAATTTATTCCGTTGCGTAATTTTTTCCCAACAAACGCAACCAAATTTTATTTCAAATTCCCAATTCCACCGAACCCACAAACCCTACTCACCATAAACATTTCACTCTCTCGTCTTATCTTTCCTCTCAAACTCGCTTATACCTCTCCTCAAACCTTAATTCTTCTAGCCTTTTCAGTTCCTCTTAAGCTCACTCATCTCTTGTCTCATCTTAGATTCTCTCGATCTCTATCTCCTCACCACTTTCCAACCTCATAAGATTGGATTAGTTGCTAGATCTGTCTCAATCTCTTGGGCATTGGTTGCTGCCCCTCCTTCGCGTTGCTACTTCTCTTCCCTCGTTTGTCAGACTTGCTACCAAATTTGTCATCTTTCACTTCTAACTGATGTGATTTCTATTGTTCACGATTGAGTCTCGATATTTATGATTTGGGTTTTTTCATTAATAGTTTTCTGTACTAGCATAGATCGACTGTGATAATAATAGGTTTCCTTAGAGGAATTTATTGATTTGAATAGTCAATTTGAGTTGAGTCGTAGAAAGAAAGAAACTAAGGAAGAATCATGCGGTTTATTTTGCTTTTGTTGACTAGAGTGGCCAGTTTGAATGCCCAATATTGTTCACTGAAATGGAACTTATTTATGAATTTAAACCTAATGTTTGGCTTTTTCATGTTTTTTATTCTGAATTGAACTTACTAAGCTTTAGTGATGTTGCCCTCTTTTGAATGAGGCATTTTTGTAGTTGGCGAGAATTCCTTGTATCTATGGGGAGCCCTCATTCTCCATAAGGATGGGGATAGAGGGTTTCTTTTGCCCTCTGTTAACATTTTCGTATGGATCCCTATACCAATCATTGGTAGGGATGGGGATGGGGATGGGGATGGGGATGGGGATGGGGATGAGGAGAGGGTCCCAAGACTCCCAACCCCACAAGTAGCCTTCTTAGAAGCGATTGTTTTTTCATATTCTAATGGAGGTAAATATTTTTTTTAATTTAAATTTATAATTGTTTCGTAACTTTAATTATCTACCTTATCATAAAAGGATTTTTTTTCTTTTTATTTTTTTACAGATAAAATAGATTAAAATAAAAATTATACCTAAATCCTTAATCTTGATATAAAATGAAAATGTTATAATTTTGAATATCATGTAGTATTGTAAACTTACAACATAATGTATCGTTATATAATTAACTCTTTTCATTCAGGGGTTCACACATAATATTGTATGTATCTATTAGTTCAATATTACTTTGTACTTATTTAATGTCTCATTATAATTGTAAATTAACAATTACATGTGACATTGTACCTACAATAATGTTCTTGCTCAAAATTTTATTTATTACAATAATTAGGTCATATCTTTTCATTTTTATTCCTAGTTATAATTAAATGAAAAATCTAATGCACCTTTATTTATTTATTTATTTATTTGAAATAAGAATAAAATTAAAATATGGCCAACATTTAATATTTTATTAAAATTAAAAGTAAAACAATTAACTGAAACTTTCTTTATCTAAAAAGTAGAACAATTAAATTAGACCGAATGAGAGTATCATTATTCAAAATCTAATGTTGCATCCCATAATAATAATAATAATATGGGTTAGCCGGACAGTGTAGAAAATTAAGCAATTGACTTGTTCATCTGAAGGTTTGGTGAGGATCTTTTACGACTGACAAGGATGGATTACCAAATTCGGTAACTTTTTATTTTGTTATCTTTACCAAATCCGGTAATGGTTTATTTCGTTGTTTGTAGGGTTAAAACCAACTATAGTCCCTCTACTTTCAATTTCTATTCATTGTCCTCCCTATACTTACAAATTGTTCAAGCCCTCCCTCAACTCTTCCAAACCATACCAAAGTCCTCCCTTTACTTTGACTTTTCATTAAATTTACCTCCCTCCCTTAACACCACCCTAACACTGTTTATAACTCCCATGTAAGTGGGGCATCTTCAGGTGCAATAGTTTATTTCTTTTTATTGAATTGTTTGTGGACCCCACAAAATAAGGGAAAAAAACTCAAAATTTATTAATTTAACGAGCATACAGTAACTGGTAATTAATTTTATTATTCTTTTATTTTCAATGCATACAATCATTTAAACAAGGTAAGCCTTAGTTTTTCTTTATTTAGTTTTTATTTTTTTTACTTCCATTAAGATAATCTTATTGTTACGGCTTGTTAGTTTTAATTTCATGTTAAATTATTTTTTATAACTTTTTTTGTTTATGTTAAGTTGTTCAATGAGAGTTAACTCTCTTTTTATCCCTCAACTCAGCCTACTTACATATTACAAGACTCAAATTTAAAATCTCTTATTTTTACAAAAAAAAAAAAAAATTCATCATTGAACTACTTAAGTCGTTGGTTTTTTTTTTTTTTTGACTTTTTTAATCTATTAATACAATTGAAAGTTAATATGTATGATGTTTTCAAAAATTTAGGCCATATTTGATTGAGTTATTAAGAGATATTTTTTTTTATGGATAGTTATTAAGAAATAATTAATACATTCTTTCTTTAATTAGATAAATAAGGGCACTTAAATTATAAATAATAATAATTTTTAATTTTTATATATAAAATATCATCTATTAGTTATTATTAACAACTAAATTAAGATTTTATTTAAGGACCGTGATTAGTGCACACCCGGATCCAACACCCGGGTATGCACCCCCCACATAAAAAAAAAAAAATGGATCGGGGTTTGGATTTTTTTTTTTTTTTTATGCGGGGTGTGCACACCCGGGTGTGGGATCCGGGTGTGCACACATCATTTTCCTTTATTTAACTATGCTTCTTACATATTTTTTACATAGTACTTTGTTTAAAATGTAAATATATTAATTTTAATTAATTTTTTAGTATATTTATACTAATTTTAATTAATATTTTAAATATTTTTAGAATGGTATAAGTCATTAAAATCTACGAATATAGCATAGCACTATCAAACTAAGCTTAAATATAGTTGAAAATGTAATAATTTTGTATAATATTAAGGTTTCATTTAACCATACTTTTCATTAATTTTTTTTCATACAGCACCCTATTTAAAATGCAATTTAATTATTATTAATCAATTTTAATTAATTTTTATATACTTTTATTAATTTTAGAAAATAATATTGTTACAATGTCACATGGTATTATAAATTTATAACATGATATATATCATTATATAATTGATCTAACTCTTTTAACTTAAGTTCTACTTATTATATTGTATGTATCAATTCATTTAATAACATTGTATGTATTCATTCATTTAATATGGATACTTCTACCTTTTCGTTGTATTGATGTATTACCTAATAAAAAAAATGATATTTTATACTCAAAATCAAGGTCTTTTATGAAAGATTTATCAAAATATTGGCAAATCTCTAAATTTCTAATAGCAACTTTTTGAATTTTTGAAGAGGAAATGTAACAAAGTATGATATTTTCTTGTATGATGCTTTATAAAATATTACTTAAGAGTAAATGAGTAGATATATATTAACTTTAACATTTCTCTAATAAAAAAAGAGAAATCATAAAATAGTACTACTACTATATATATTATACATATATTATTTAATTATTGTACATAAAATTATTATACTTCCATCATTTTTTTCCTTGTGGAGGACTATGGATTTTACAGTTTAATATCTAAAACAATGGAGAATATTTTCTAAAAAAAGTGAAGTATAGTTCACCTCTTATTTACTATAAATTTTATAACTATTGATAATAATGAATCCCTTGATGTTGAAATGATTTTTTCTCTATTAACAGTTATAAAATGTTCACTTTATGCATTTTCTATATGTAATGGCCCAACTAATACTACATGTAAGATTCAAGTGCACAAGTAATACATGCAATTACTTTGACTCATTAAATATTGCGGTTTTAAAATACATTATCCAAAGATTAATGAATATTGATTGATATAATCAACATTTTTCCTACGCTGGGATCCACATCTACCAAGTTTCAATACTTTATATCAAAGTTTCCATATATTTGTAACATGGTTGGTTGCCAAGCATACCCACCCTCCAATTATTAAAGAGAGACACCAATATTTCTCCACCAACCAACCATTCTTTGCATTGGCAAAATAAATTTACGCATGAATAGAGAAAAACTAAATAATAATGAGTTTAACTTCCTAATTTTACTATAGAAGGAGTTCAACTGTTTTTTTTCTCCCTAAAAGGAGTTCAACTCGTGGAATTCACTATGCATCTGGGACAGTGGGAGTAACTATCATATACAAAAATTATCTCAATTTTTTTGACACATAAAAATTAAACATTGAACCTCAAATCTATAATTATAAACCCAACAAACTCTCTTAATAATTTCCCATTAATTTAATGTCAGAGTGACGTGTTGCGGCCCACTTGACTGCGGCTGTTAGCTGTCGGCTATTGACTCCTTTTGCATAATGCATGGAAAATCCGAAAGTTGAGCTCCTCTGAGCTTTCATAGTAAAAAAAAAAAGTTCTACTCCTCCTACAGAAAAATTGAAAAAGTTGGACTCCTTATCCACTACTTTGCCCATATTCTGAAAAGTACACTGATATATAGTTTAGTTTAATATATTATATTATATATATTTAAAAAAATTAATTTAAAATTAAAAATAAATAAATTTAAAATATAATTATACATATAAAATATAAAAATTAATTTAATAAAATTATATTTATATTATATTTTAATAATGAGATAAATATAAAAAATTATGAAAAACCTGTACCAACCATTTTCTATTCAGAAAAGAAAAAAAGTAGCTAAGCAGTGTATAAATTATTAAGTTTCTCCTTGCTCGTCTGATTGCTCTGGGTTTTTGAGATGACAGGGGAGATGGCAAGCCATGAAGCTGGTGAGATGATGGTGGAAAACAGGGAATGGGTTCTGAAGGAGTATGTCAGCGAAGGTCTTCCAACTTCCCATCACCTGAAACTCCAGACGGCGAAGCTGAGCACAGTCCCGGACGGTCATCTCATGTTTCGTATCCTATGGATCTCTGTTGATCCGTACACCAGAACCCAAATGACCGGCCGAGAAGAGGGACTGTATGCGCCACAGTTTGAGTTAAACCAGGTCATGAAAATTTTGCTTCATACCCCTCACAAATTCTGTTTCTTAATAGTAACTATCTATATATATGAGTATATTCAATTTTTTATCTCTCCTTCATTTTCATTTTCTTAAAAATTGCAGGCTGCGAGGGCTTTCGCGATAGGCGAAGTAATTCAATCAAAGGACGTTAGTTACAGTGTTGGAGACATTGTGGTCATTCCATTCTGTCCAGTGGCAGAATACTGTGTTAAACCTGCAGATTTGTTCCTCAGGAAAATAGATCCAACTCCTGGAGTCTCAGAACTTGATTATCTCACTGCATTAGGTACAGAATTAATGTTCTTGTTTTAATTATTACAACATTTTAGAGATCGAATCCCTCTTAAAAAATGCTATGTAACTTTGAGACAAAATGGGACAGGCGTCCCCGGATTTGCAGCATGGGTGGGGATAGTTGTACTTGGTGATCCAAAGCCTGGGGAGAATGTGTTCATATCGGCGGCTGCAGGCGGTGTTGGGGTTTTTGCTGGACAGTTGGCCAAACTTAGAGGATGCAGAGTTGTTGGAAGTACAGGCTCCGATGAAAAGGTAAAGTTGGCACTGCATGCTTGATTTTGTTCTTAGAATAGCTAGGTTTGTACTGTAGAAGAAAAATGATGGGTGCACATCCGGATCTCCCGTCCGGCTGCACCCCCAATATAAACCAAAAAAAATATTCATTAATCGGTCCAATTTTTTTTTTATGTGGGGGTGCACACCCGGGTATAGGATTTGGGTGTGCATCAATCATGATTCATTCTAAAAATAAGAGAATGGATGCAGATAAAAAGGTTAAATTCAATAGATAATTTATTAACTATAGGGTTTATTTTAGTTTAGTTGAAAAATAATTTTTTTAAATAATTTATAAATTACTAATTTTATTTTAAAATGATCTACTTAACAAACATTCAGTTAATTTAACAAATATTCAATTAACTGATTAATGGAATTCTTTTTGGTTGTTGACAAACTACCTCTAAACTTTTGAAAAATGTTAAATTTAGTATATATATTTTTGTTTTTTT